TAGACCAAGGTGACTAGCTTAAACCCGGGAAAATAATCTTACTTAACTGGCCTCTCTAGAAGTATTGCCCAATAGCTAATAATGCTCGAGCATCTGATTGCAATCTCATGGATGAAAAATCTCCTTACGCTTCTTCGAGCTCTCTTGTGCGTTTGGTGCCTAATGTGGACCCCACTTTTTCCTTCCCCTTGAACGTTCGTCTAGATGGCATCCTGCAAAGGTGCAAAGTAGTACATTAGACCACCAGGTATAAATGGATAATGATGGAACATATATAAAGCACAAATCCCCAAACTTCCTTCAAGGTTTATGTGTACAAAGTTAGCATACAAAATGCATAAATTATGTCTCAAACTAGAGTTCATGTCACAGAAATGTGAATCACCAACGAAACTTAGCTCAAACATGCATTTTGTTCAAGTTGGACCCACGATCGACCTTGGACTTTCACCACCCGGCATCATCAAGAAAATTTGAAATTTACTCGAGTAATCTCCAGGCACATGAAAATGTTTTTACTACTCTAGCTCATATCCAAATTTCAAGTCAATTGGATTTCGTTTGTGTTGCCAAATTATGGGCGAAGTGGGCAACGTGAGATAGTCATTATTCGACCTATTTGTGTGGTCAAGCCAGGATTTTGTGGTTTCTAATGCAATTTCAATGGGGATTCATCACAATACACAACTCAAGTCAAATATCATGCACATCAAATGCAACATTCACAAAATTACATAAAACTCTTCACTTAGGGCTTTCATCAAACATGTTGTATACATAGAGTGATTTTCCTCATTCTAGTAATACATATGCATAGAATTCACTCCATTATTCATAATATATTCATAAATCAACACACTACAACATATAACATCCATAATCCATCAAGCACCAAAGAAAATTCAAAAATTCCCAAATTTCAAAATTGATCAACTAGGGCTTAGAAAACATGCCTTGTAATCTTGATGGTGGAATGCAATCAATGTCAAGCCTATGAAGATGGATTCTTGAGGATTTGAATCCCAATTGTGTGCTTTAATTATGGATTGTGTGTGGGAGTCGTGTGTTGTGAGGTCTGTTGGTGTGTCTCGTGTGTTGTGAGGTCTGTTGGTGTGTCTCGTGTGTTTTATTGAAATTTTTATTCATTAGCTCTACGCGACCCCATATAGTAATCTCATACGATCGCATAGAGTTAACCAACAGAGCCTATTTAGGCTCTGAAGTTTAATTGTGACCGCACGCCTAGTTAGTCTATGCGGTCGCATAGACTACCAGGTGTGCCTTGATTTTTTTATTTTATTTTTATGCCTCCACATTCATGCCTAATATATAAAATTGAGTGTGTACGTGTCCTAGATTTTTTAAAACACAGTTGAACCTTTTTCAAAAAAAATTCTTTGAATCTCGATTTTCTAATTATGACACGACATGGCCTTACACTGTCCCTAAATTGCCAAAACATAATTTAAACCATGTGGGGTACGTGTGGGCCGTGAATTTAGTTTTAAAACTGAATTTACGATTGAAATCATACCTTAACCTTGAAAATTTTAAACAAGTCCTAAGTGTGCCTCGAAATGCGTGAAACTCACACCCAACAACCAAAACAAGAGTTTAAACCTTATTACTTGTGTTCAAATGTGTTAGGACTTGTGTGGATCATGCTTCATCTCCGTGTGACCTATATGGATGACTGATGACCCACAACTACCAAACATGCTAAAAAATGAAAAATTCATAAACTAATGCGAAAAGCAAAATAAACTAAAATGATACAACGAGTTGCCTCCTATCTAGCGCTAGTTTATAATCGATAGCTCGACTCTCCTATGTCTGCTTCATTCTGGTGTCCTAAGGTGGACGATGGACTTTTCCTTGAAAAATTCTCCACTCCAGCAATGTTTCAGCCTTTGTCCATTGATTATGAAGGTTCCCTTACTTTCGTTGTTGATCTCAATTACCCCATTTGGTAGCATCTTCGTAGTAGTGTAAGGATCCAATCACCATGACCTCAATTTTCCTGGGAAGAGTTTGAGTCTAGAATTATAGAGTAAAATTTTTTACCCTACATCAAACTCTCACCTCTAAATATGCAACTTGTGCCACTTCTTGGGGCATTCCTTATAAATCTTTGAACTCTTAAATGCTTCCATTCTGAACTCATCCAACTCGTTAAGTTGTAGCAGATGATTTTCACCGATTGCTATTAAATCAATGATCAATTGTTTCATTGCCCAGTAAGCTTGGTGCTCTAACTCAAGTTGTAAGTGACAAGCTTTCCTAATGACCAGACGGTATGGAGACATGCATATGGGCATCTTGAATGCTGTTCTGTAAGCCCACAATACATTGTCCAACTCTTTAGACCAATCTTTCCTCGAGGAACTTACTGTGACCTCAAGTATCCTCTTCAACTGCCAATTAGAGACTTGAACTTTCCTAGTGGTTTGAAGATGATATAGGTAGCTACTCGGTCTTTGATGCCATATTTACTTAATAGCTACTCAAATTGGCAATTGCAGAAGTGTTTAATCCCATCACTGATTATAGCCTATGGTGTGACATATGGGGTAAAGATGTACTTCTTCAGGAATCCAATTTCCACTTTAACATCATTGGTTGATAAAGCAATTACCAAGATGTATTGATTGGAGAACGATGGTGGAAAAGGCCCCATAAACTTGATTCTCCAAACATTAAATATCTCCACCTCCAAGATACTGTTAGCTACATTTCATTCTTTCTTGAGATGTTCTTAGTGTGTTGACATCTATCACATCTCTTTACGAATTTGAAGGCATCCATTGACTATGTAGGCTAGTAGAACCCAGACTGTAAACTTTGGCTATTCTCTTTGAAGGTCTAAAGTTCCTCACATATGCAGATGAATGACGCTGTTCCAGAATTAGAGGAACTTCTTCTTTGGGCATACACAGTCGAATAATCTGATCTGTCCCTCGCTTATAGATAATCAGGTCTTCCCAAATGTAATAATTTAACTCTACAATGAACTTTTTCTCCGATGACTTGAATAATTTGGTGGCGGGATGGATTTAGCCAAGTAGTTCATAATATCTGCATACCATGGTGCTCATTCCACACTAAATATTTGGTTATCTAGGAAGATCTAGTTGATGTCTATTGACTTTGCAAGCTCTCCAGGTTCCAATCGAGACAAATGGTGTCCCATAACGTTCTTACTGCCCTTTTTATCCCTGATTTCAATGTCAAACTCTTGTAACAATAAAACCAAGTAAATCAATCTCGGTTTAGCATCCTTCTCCATCATCAAATGCTTCAATGTGATGTGATCCGTGTATTCTATAACATAAATTAACTAAAGTTTTGTCAGAACGTTAAGTCGAGGCACTATGACTTTAGACCTAACAAGATGCAACCTGAATTTGTCAAACGCATAAACCACTGCCTAGAGCTCATTCTCTATAGTTTCATAATTAAGTTGTGCATCATTCAGGGTTTGGCCTGCGTAGTAGATGACATGGAAGATATTGTTTCACCTTTGACCCAGAACGGCCCCCATGGCATGATCACTAACATCACACATTAACTCAAACGGTAGTTTCCAATCTAGTGCCATAATTACTGGTGCTGAAGTAAGTTTTTCCTTCAAAGTATTGAAGGCTTTCAGGCATTTCCCAATAAACTTATACAATACATCCTTCATCAATAAGTTGCATAATGGCTTTGTAATCTTCGAAAAAAAATTATGAACCGTTTGTAAAATCCACCATGTCCTAGAAAGCCGCGAACACCCTTGATTGATGTAGGTGGCGATAACTTTTCAATGACCTGAATCTTCGCTTAGTCCACCTCAATCCCCTTTGTTGATACACTATGTCATTGTATAATCCTTTCTTATACCATGAAGTAGCATTTCTCCCAATTAAATACCAAGTTCATTTTCTTACATCTCTGTAAGACCAGTTCAAGTATTCTAAGCACTCATCAAATGAAGACCCGAAGATTGAAAAGTCATCCATGAATACCTATATGAACTTTTCAATCTTTGAAATGTGGAAGGGGCATTACAAAGACCAAAGAACAACCTACGGTAGGCAAAGGTACCATAGGGGCAAGTACATGTGGTCTTTTTGTGGTCATCCAGAGCCACTGGTATCTAATTGTAACTTGAGTACCCATCTAGGAAGTAGTACTGTGAGTGGCCTTCCAATCTCTACAGCTTTTGATCAATGAACAAGAGGGAGAAATGGTCTTTTCTTATGGCTACATTGAGTTTGCGGTAATCGATGCAAATCTCTATCCCGTTACTGTTCTGGTAGGAATTAACTCATTTTTCTCATTTAGTACAATTGTGATTCCATCTTTCTTTGGTACAACCTTAACTAGGCTGATCTATGTACTATCTTATATAGGATATATGATGCCTGCATCCAGAAGCTTAAGTACCTATGCCCTGATCACTTCCTTCATAGTCAGATTCAACCTCATTTGACTCTCTATACTTGGCTGAAAATTTTACTCCATGAGAATCTTATACACACACAGTGAGGGGCTGATCACTTTAATATCTACTATAGTCTATCCAATTACTATTTTATTCTCCCTGAGTACTCTAAGCAATTTTTCTTCCTCCACCTCGCTGACTGCGTTCAAGTTAACGATCGAAAGTGTACATGACTCCCCAAGTAGGTATATCTAAGATGTGGTGGCAATTGCTTCAGTTCTAATGTAGGTGGCTGTTGAATAGATGGTAATGGCTTTGTGGGTCCTAATCCAAGCTCCTTAAAGTGCCTTTTCCATGTATATGGTAGGTTGGTCTCCAAAAACCTTGCACATGTCTCAATCTCTAGAGAATTTGAATGTGCTGATTGAGAGTGTACAATGCAAGCTTCGTAAGCATTTGATGGGTTGTACAGTAGAAATGTGTCCTGAACCACTTTTTCAATTACATCAATTTGGAAGCAGTTATCTGACTCTGTAGGTAACTTCATAGCCTTAAAAACATTAAAAGAAATTTGCTATTCTCCAAGTCTCAAAATCAACAGCCCCTTTCGAACGTCAATTAAAGCTCTACCGGTGGAAAAGAATGGTTTGCCTAGGATCAGTGGTATATCCTTGTCTTCCTTCATCTCCACGATGAAAAAATGGACAGGATATATAAATTTCTCCACTTTGATTAGCACATCTTCTATTATCACTCTTGGACATGTTAAGGATCTGTCAACTAATTGTAATGTCGCAGCGGTAGCCTTGGCTTCTCTAAATCCAAGTTTTTTGAAAATGGATAGAGACATTAAATTAATACTTGTAACAAGGTCACATAAAGGTTTATAAAAATAAACTTTACCAATAATGCAAGGGACTGTGAAACTCTCTGGATCTTTCAATTTCGATGGGAGCTTCTTCTGAATTCTCGCGCTACATTTTTTAGTTAGCATCACCATCTCATGTTCTCCTAACTTACGTTTATTTGATAAGATGATCTTTAGAAACTTGGCGTAGCCAGGCTCTGGACTAGTGCATTGGTGAACGGGGATGTTTATATGGAGCTTCTTGAAAATCTCAAGAAATTTTTATATTGTTGCTCTATCTTTTGCTTCTTTAACTGTTAGGAAAATGGAATGCAGGCTTATAAGGCTTGACTTGCACTGTTGCCTCATCTCATGATGTCCCTGATCCTTCTTCTGAGGTAGATTCCTTTATTTGCTTATCCGGCTCCACAGTCTCATCTTTTGTAGGCATTGTTGTTTCTTTATTTACACTCGGCATTTTGGCTTGTATTTTAGGCAGTTGTACCCCACTTCTAGTTGTAATTGCCTTAGCATACTCCTTTGCGTTGATTCTCGTGTTTCTTTGAAAACTACTAAGTGCTCTGCTGGTCAAAACCTCTACCATCTAGCCTATTTAGGTCTTCGGATATTTGATGGCTTCATTTTGATCTTGAAGAGTAGCTTAGGTTTTCCTCATGAACTGATTGTTAGCTTCCATGTGCTAATTGGTTGTTTCTATGAATTTTTTTGAACATTTCTTCTAGATGAGTCTTTTTCTCTTGCAATTGTTCTGTTGGCGCTATCCTAATTGAGCAAAATCCGCATGTTCCATTCTTTATGCTAAGATTGGGAATTCTATTATTATATGTTCAACTCTGCACTCCTTGCAACTAACCTTCTTTGCTGTGCTGATTGTGACATACTATTCACCTTGTGATATAGTGAGTCAATATTTATAGATAGGGTAGAATATACGTCCACTCCATAGACTCTGGATGTCCTCTTCTGAATTGCTCTCTCTGATGTCCACATAGTTGATGTAGTAGCCATTATCTCAAATAGTTTCAGTGCTTCATCAATTATTTTTGTGGACAGTGACTTGTTAGATGAGGAGCCAACCGTGCTTTTGAAGGCTGGAATTAGTTCTACATAGAAATACTGGACTTGGAGTCCTTTGCTAAACCCGTGATGTGGACACTTCCCCAACATGTTTTTAAACCTATTCCAAGCTTCATCAAAGTTCTCTGAATTGTCTTGACAAAAAATAGATGTCATACTTTAGCTTCGCAATCTTGGCGAGTGGGAAGAACTTCGTGCATAATTTCTGGGCTAGATCGTTTCATAGAGTGATGCTGACTATTAGTTGAGAATCTTACCATTCAGGCAATACAGTGTGCATGATAACAACCTTAATCTAATAGCATTGTCAGAGACCACCTAATATCTGAAGTGTTGGCACATCTCAAAGAATCGAGAGACCTACGTGTGTAGGTTTTCTTCAGCTCTGCCGTAAAACTGATGTCCATTTTGAAACAGTTGTATCACATTGGTTTCAATTGAAAGTTAGGGTGCCCAAACGGTATATACACGGTGCTGGACTAGCTTTGAATTATTTGAGGAGTCATGAAGTCTCCTACAAGCATGTTGTCTTCATCCACCGCCCTTTCTTCGTTGGCTTGAAAGATGGGATTATTCTGGACGTCAGCAATTTGTTAGTGTTGTTGTGATTCTCTAGTTTCCCTTTGCATTCGATGAAAAGTTCGGTCAATTTCTAGATCAGGTGGAATTAATTCTCCTCCAGTCATCTAATAACCTAAAATTCTCTATATGCCATTAACCTTAGGGACCAAATTGCCCAATAACTATAGTTTAAGGACCAATTTATACAGAGACTAACGTTCAGGGACAAATTACACACCAACTAGAATTTAGGGATCATATCGCATATCAATGAACATTTAGGGCCAAGTTTTATACCCATCCATAGTTAAGGGACTATAGTATATATATGTAGCATCTACATACATGGTAAGAAATAATTATTGCATGTTTTTATTATGGTAAGGAATAATTGAATGTAAATTTAGGTAATTACCACATATAATATGTACGTATATATTAACTACTATAATTAAAAGAAATAATTAAGGAAACTTTCCTTTTTATTTAATTATACAAAAAATTGAAAAGGTAATTACCATATACATTATGTACATATATGTTAACTTCCATAAGTAAAGGATTTAATTAAAGAGACTTTCCTTTTCTTATTAAATCTTACCATAAACCAAAAAGGTAATTAACATATATAATATGAATATATATATATATATATATATATATGTTAATTACCATAATTAAAATGATTAATTATATATATATATATATATATATATATATATATATATATATATATATATATAGAGAGAGAGAGAGAGAGAGAGAGAGAGACCAAAAGAGAAAAAAAGAAAAAAAAAGAAACACGAATATTTTCAAGAATTCTCCTACATGCTAAAAGGATCATCAGATTCGAGGTATGTGAAATACATGTATTTCATCGTTTAAGATTACAGAAGTCGATATTATAATTATGTTATGAAATCATGGAGTTTAGCAATGCTACGCACGAAATTAGAACCATGAAGTTTGATTTTTTTTTATAATTTCGTGTCTAATCAAATATGTTCACGAATCTCATGGACTTCTGTTATTCATGTCATGTTATTTCACTTATTGAGATTATCATCTCATATGAATCATGAATTTTTTTAGGTAATAATTAATCCCTTTTTTGAGATGGATGAAGACTGGGCGAGCATGCAATTGTGGATAATAAAACATTTAATAAAGTTATGTTAAGATTTATTTATGTTTTGATGATTAAATTATTTTGGTTTGTAATGTTTTGAGATTGAATATGTTATTTCGAAATTTTCTTTTCCTTTTGAAAACTTTTCTTTATTAATAAAGTGACTGTTTAATGATTTTATTCTTATGTTCAAGAATTTTTTTTTATTCTTTACAAGTCAATCTCGACATGCAAATCTGCAAGAAGACTAGTAGTAGCACTTAGATACTAAAAAAATCTAAAATTGAATAACAAAACAAAATAAACATAAAATAAAATAAAACAATTAATACACAAAATAACGTTCAAATTAGTATCAAGGTAAATAAGATTAAACGAATACTAAGTCCCCGGCAACGATGCCAAAAACTTGTTGATGAAATTATTTTTTCGATTTGTGTCCGCCAAATTATGGTTCGGAACAAGTAATAAAGTGGAAAATTAGAGTCCGAATGTTGTCCCCACAGAGATTGAGCAGTGTGATTCTATTTAACTTGACCTTAACCGAAACCAAATTATCTAATGAGGTTTTTAATAACTTGAATTAGCCCTAATTTAACCTAATATAAAACTATGTATGACTCAAACGAACTAAAATGCAAAATGAATGATTGAATGCAAATTGACAACATGTTGAAGTTTTGAAGAATCAATGCTTCTAAATCTATCCAATAATCTCTCTCGAGTAAAGTTGAACCTATCCTCATATACCACCAGCTTATATCTCTATGATAGGGGCAAATATACAAGAATGTATGCAGTTTTGTGAACACATAAAGATTCACACAATGCTGGCAATGTATCTCTAAACCCTATCAGACCCTACGATGGTTCACACCCTATCGAACTTATTCCCCTGCTCTCGAATGCATTAAACAAATCACCATACTTACAAAATTATGAGCACATAATTATGGAAGCCATTAATTGTATATAAATCATTTAAAATTCAAGAAACATATTTTGATGTTAAAATTGCATAACTAGAAATTAAAAAGTTACATCACAAGGTTCATCGATTTTCTAATACATGAAAACCTAGCCTAACATGGATAAAATAACAAAATACACAATAACTCTAAGAAACGACATCACCGCGATGAGAATTGGTGTGTAATCCCTTTGATCTTCACGTCTCTCTTCATGATTGTGGTGTAAAATCTCCTCCAATATGTGCTCTTTTCTCTCCCCAACCGTTCTTCCTTAAATATGACGGCTCTAGGGTTTTTATATACTTCCCACTACTTAATTCCATATGAGTTCAAAGCAAAAACGGAAATTAAAATCTCGCCCCTAAATATAGCCATGCAACCATATGGTTAAGTTGGGTCACCCATCTTATTCTCTGAATACCACCATGCAGTCACATGATGGTTCTAACCATGCGACCATATGGTTAGGGGATTCTTCCCATATATTGCATTTTGGACTTTGAACTTGAACTTCTTGCATTCCGATTTCTTTTCTCATTATTGTTTTCCCAATACTTCAAATCTTCCATTAATTAGTCCTTGAGTCTTCCACTTCTTCGCTTGTATCTCCAGTTCAACTTTTGGTTATTTACATTTTAGTCCCTGAATTTTTATTCTTTTCCATCTTAGTCCTTTTTCTTCATTTTCATCCTTCCATCCTTCCATGTTATCTCCAAATTAATACTTAGCTTGTTTGTTCCCCAATTTGCCTTTTGGTCCATCTTTTAGATATTTGCACTCTGGTCTCTAAACTTTTATTTTCTTTCGTTTTGGCCCTTTTGCATCTTTTGACTTGAATTCTGTCACATCCATTAATATGGTCCTACAAAAAAATTGCATAGAATTAAACCATATTCAATCAATTTCATCAACAATTAGTCATGTTTTGTGGACCGAATAAGCTTGTAAAAATGCACTTATCAGTAACGATCCAGTAAAAGTGATCGATTTGACGACCTATAGCCCAAACAAGTCAATTGAAATCAACTTAATGATCAATGGTGCTGACAAAGACAATAAGGCGGCTCTCATTTCTCAAATACTCGAGCATAGCCTAGGACAAGTGGACGAAATGACTACTGTGATGGGACAGCCAATAGGTTAGAGAAAGCTACTTGCACTTCATTCTGTGGTCATAGCTTTAATTGTAACACTATAAATACCATTTTCTTGTATCATTTTAGGGATAATGCAATTCCAAGTATCAAAATATATACAATTATTCTCTCTCTAACCTTGGCATCGTATGCTAAGCTTGTTTCTTCATATTTGAAATATATTTTTTCTCTAAGGTTGTGTTGTGTTTGATTAACCCTAGTTCTCGAACATTTTATTGGGTTGTAGTTCAAGGAATGATCTTCTTTACACGTGGCAATGTAGATGCGAGTGGGGCATAGATTTCTATTGGCTCATTTTTAGGGGGTCAACAAACTCTCATTGTTTGTGGAAAATGAAATTTTAATCATGAATATCCCATGGAAAAGGTTTACCTAAGAGTCGTGTGAACTATTCCTTTGAAGAAATGATTTGTTCTTGAAAAAGAGCAAGTGGACATCCCAAGAAGATAACACTAGCTTCAATGTCAGGTTGTTCAGAAAGAGAACATAATGGGATAAAGGATATTCTCATAAAATTTGTCTGAAGAGAAAAGTGAGCAAATGAGTTTTGAAAATGAAGACACAGTACCAAGAAGGACAAGGGAAAACCCTTAAGAAGAGGGAACTTTCCACATTGTCCCTACAACTTGCTATCGACCTCACCACCATCACAGACGATATGGGATGATGGTAGCTTTCTAGTTCACTGGAAAGATGGCAGTTATGGCTGTTAACATGAGGACTACCACTTAAAACAAAATTGCTATACAGGAGATACTTAGGCAAATGCCTAACCAAGAGAGTTAACCAATCCCTCCTTATGCACCTTATGCTATTACACACTTTTAGAAGGACCAGTCCCCCATTTTACACCTCAAAATGAGTATTATCACCAGTAGGAAAAAAAAGTCTAAAACCTAAGAGCGAACTACCAACAACATTCTAGGGAAGATGTTCTCCAATAAAGGGAAATAGGAATGGACATCTCTTCAAACCATGCCTTTGTACGACCTATCAAGGCCCCGTTCAATGAGAAATATAATTTTTCTCCAAAATATGAACCGAAAAATGCACCTTAGAGGTCATCAAGTGTCTTTGACAGGCTCAACCATGGTGGCCTAGAAATAGTCTGGCCTAGCCTCTTCCAGTGCCTAGGAATAGGCCTCAACAACCTAGTCCCTTCGTGAGGTAATATAAGAATGTATAAGGCCACATCTTGTATAGTTCTCTGCTTAGAAATAGGTGTCAGATAGTAGAGGAGTGGGTAAAAAATTAGGTAGGACTATCTCAACCACCTCCCAGGTGTCAAGCCAAAGAAGATTATGATTCAGATAAGTTGTACGATATGGACGGTGATGATGATAATCTACTTTTCTCTTAGAATTTGTGAAATGCCTTGATCCCAAATCATTTTCTACCACGAAGCTTGCCAAGTATGATGAAAGAGGCGACCTGGCCCACCTTGAAAGTTACAAGACCCAAATGAGCCAAAGAATCCCTTTTTCCTACAGTGAAATATAGAGCTTTCCATTTAACCTTGAGTGGGACAGCACAAGCCTAGTATTGTAGGTTGGAGTAGAATAGCATCAGACTTGCTGGACTTCAAAAGGGCTTTCCAGTACTTCGCAATCAACAAAAAGGGAAAAGGTCCTTTGCAATGCCTCATGGATATAAGGCAATAGCTAATGAAGCTGTTGAAGAGCATTTTCACCCATTTTATGGATAAAATGACCTATTGTGTAAATTTACCGATAATGAAGCACTGTCTACCTCAAGAGGAGGGCTTGATATGAAGTTCGAGTTCGCACCCCTTATTATGGGTCGGACCTCTTAGCTGATGATGACGACCATATGCCCATGAAATCGCTCGAGGAGTACGCCGACTGTACTCTCATCCAGGGCATAGTTGATAAGTATGAGAAGGAGGTCGACATGAATGAGGGAGTTCGGACTCTCGAGCTCCTTATACTGAAGGTATGTTTTTAATATGAATGCTCATGTAGCCCTGATTGGTTTCGTAATTTGTACTAACGTCGGGCTCTATACATGTTTTTGTAGACACTAAGCGTAGCTCGGGTCTTGGCCTCAAGGGGTTGAATTCTTTAGATCGCATAGCCGGGCTCGAAGTCAAGAGCGAGGTTGCGTTTAAGAGGGCCAAGGAGCTTGAAAAGGCCCTGGAGGCGGCCAAGGTGGACCTCAAGAAGGCGGAGGATGAGGTCGAGTTTGCAAGGGGCGAAGCAGAGGAAGTGAAGCTCGAGCTTATTCACTCTCGAAGCTCTTTTGAGGTGGAGCTTGCGAATGCTTGAGCTGAAGCCCGAGCTCAGGCCGTCGATGACTTCAAGAAGTCTGATGAGTTCAAGACTCTACTGGGTTAGTATGGGTCGGGCTCGTACTACTATGGGTTGTGGCTAGCTCGGTCATTCCTTAGGATAAAGTTCCTTGAGGATTTGAAGCCTATAGTAGAGGAGTTAAAGACTGTGAACAAGCTCGCTAAGGACCTCGAGCTATCCTCCTCTGAGGGTGATGGGGACGATGACAACGACGATGCTGGAACCCCCGACAATGGAGGGGGGAGTGACCACATCGTCCTAGACTAGACCCTTCCCCGACCCCGAGTCTAACATTTTTGTAATAATTTTTCTTTTTCTTATGTTGTCTGCCCGATCTGGGCTTATGTACTTATTTTGATTTTGATTATATGCAAGTTTATTGCCCGAACTGGGCCTCTATCTTTAAGAGGGAATTTTATCAGTTCATGCGTTTTATTATTCCTACGAGATCGTGTGTTGATCCTATACGTATTGTAATTTTGAATTCGAGTTTACATTATAGTTTAGAGTTCGGTTGTTAGTGAATGTCATGTCCAAATCTTTAAACTTATTGCTCGTGCGTGTGGACTATTTCGGGTGTCTTTTTTATCGTCGAACTATGAGCAGATTGATCCTTTAAACAATAATGGTCATGGGGCGTCAATTTTCGCGTTCAGTGGTGTATCGTTGGGAGAAACTAGATCGTGCACTAGTGTTGAATTCTTGTTCATATCGAGGGTTGACCCCAACATCTAACTTCGGTGGTGTATCATTGGGGGAACTAGTCCGTGCACTAGTGTTTATTTCTTGCCCATATCTAGGGTTGACCTCCACATCTAAGTTCAGTGGTGTATCGTTGGGGGCAACTATAATAATTGACCCGACGTCGATCTTAAAATTCATGCATCGTCAAGCATTCTGGGATCGTCAAGGTTAGGGATAACTCTACATGTACAATTGCATCATGACCCAACCTCGATCTGACGATTATTTCGTTTCACGTCATTCTGGGATCGATAAGGTCGGGCTTATATGCTCGACCTATAACAGCTTGAGGTCGTGTGTGGAATTGGTAAACGTATTAGCTGCATGCGCGGGGCACGGCCTTATGCTAATTTAGTAAAGGTATTAGCTGCATGCACGGAGCACAGCCTTATGCTAATTTAGTAAAGATATTAGCTGCATGCGCGGGGCACGGCCTTACGCCAATTCAGTAAAGGTATTAGCTGCATGCGCGGGGCACGGCCTTACGCCAATTCAGTAAAGGTATTCGCTGCATGCGCGGGGCACGGCCTTACGCCAATTTAGTAAAGGTATTCGCTGCATGCGCAGGGCACGGCCTTATACTAATTTAGTAAAGGTATTAGCTATATGCGCAGGGCACGACCTTACGCTAATTTAGTAAAGGTATTAGCTGCATGCGCGGGGCAAGGCCTTATGCCAATTTAGTAAAGGTATTAGCTGCATGCGCGAGGGACGGCCTTATGCTAGTTTAATAGGGGATCAATATCATAAAGAAAACTTCTTATGTGTTATTAAAAAGTCTCAAGGGTGTTTCATACCCGAGCTTATTTGAGCATGAGTTAACGGGGCATTAGAGCCCAAAAAGTAAAAATGAAAGTAAGAAAACATGAAGCTGGCATGCAAGCCCTAAAGGAAAATTATAGCTATAGCTAATCACTTGTAATATATTTTCAGATTGTTGGCGTTCCATGGCCTTGGGAGTGGATTCTCTGATGTATCTCTGAGGCAATAGGCTCCACCTTTAAGTTTTCTTACGACCTCGTAGGGTCCCTCCCATGTCGGCCCAAGTTTCCCTAGTTGGTGCCCAACGGCTTCTGCTTTCCTTAGGACAAGATCGCCAGCTCTAAATCTCCTGTTCTTGACCTTCTTGTTGAAGTGCTTTGTCGTTCTGTTTTGGTAACTTGCAGTCCTAAGGGAAGCTTGCTCCCTTACGTCTTCAAGTAAGTCGAGATGCTAGGTAGTTTGCATCTCCTTATTTGTCTCGAGCTTTCTTAGTGTGGGGAGGTTAACCTCGATTGGAATGATAGCCTCAAGTCCAAAAGCAAGCATGAATGGCGTTTCACCAGTTGCTGTCTTGTGTGAAGTCCTATATGCCCATAGTATCGAAGGCAGCATGTCAGGCCAGTCACCTTTGGTGTCCCCTATCCTTGTTCGGAGGTCCTGCAATATGATTCGGTTAGTTACTTCGGCTAACCCATTATTTTGTAGGTGTGAGACCGAGGTCACGCGATGATCAATCCCATTGCTAGCGTAGAAGTTCTTGAACTGGGGATTGTCGAATTGCCTTCCATTATCTGTGATGAGGACTTTTGGTATCCCAAATCTGCATATGATGGACTTCCATATAAATGATCTGAGCTTTGGCTCTGAAACTGTTGCTAGAGGTTTGGCTTCTACCCACTTTGTAAAATACTCCACTGCCACAGCTACAAATTTTAATTGTCCTCGGGCCAAGGGAAAAGGCCCAAGAATATCAACTCCCCATTGCTCGAAGGGAGCTGAGTAGTGAATAGATGTTAGTTCCTCAATAGGAGTATGTATGATGTTGCCAAACTTTGGCACTTGTCGCACTTCCGGACGTAATCTGTGGCATCTTTCTTCAAACTTGGCCAATAGTATCCATACCTTATCAACTTATGTGCAAGAGCTCGGGATCCTTGGTGATTTCCACAAATGCCTTCGTGAATTTCAGTCATTGCTTGAAGGGACTCGGAGGGTCTGAGACACCTTAGATAAGGGAGTGTAAGACTTCTGCGGAACAGAACTCCTTCGATTATGCAATATCTAGCAGCTCAATACCGAATGCTTCGGGCGAGCCGAGGGTCTGTAGGAATGTTGCCATTACTTATGTAATCAACTATTGGATCCATCCAGGAGGGCTCATGGTCAATGTCCATGATACTTGGCTTCTGGGCTATACTTGATTCTGCAACCATCTTGATGTGCATGGTTCTATCTAGCCCGTCAACACCCATGAAGACGAGTTTGGATAATGCATCAGCTTTGGCATTTTGGGCTATAGCTACCTTCAGAATTTCACAACTTACGAACTGCCTCTAGAGGTCATGTACTTTCAAACAATATAAGCTCATTTTTTCATCCTTTCTTTCGAAAGACCCCTCGATTTGCCCGACCACTAGCTGTGAGTCACTAAAAACTTTGACGTGCTCGCACTCAAGATTTTTCGCGAGTTCTAGAGCTATAATAACGGCTTCATACTCTGCTTCGTTATTGGTAGCCTGAAATTCAAATCTGAGAGCACATTGTATCTCCGTAATCTTGTTCGGACTTGTGATAATAGCGCCGGCCCCTGAGCCCGAGCTATTGGATGCTCTGTCAACAAAAATTTCCCATATTCCTGAGGTCGAGTTCGGGTTCCCGACTGGTGTTTCTGAGGATCTCAGAGTAAGCTCTGCTATGAAGTCGGCTAAAGCTTGGGCCTTGATTGCAGGTCGTGGCTTGAATTCTATGTCAAATTCGCCGAGTTCAATTGCCCATTTCAGCAGTCTTCCTGAGACATCCGGCTTCTGAAGTATATGTCTGAGAAGTTGGTTGGTGAGCACAACAATTGGATGTAACTGGAAGTATGGCCGTAATTTTCTGACAGCCATTACTAAAGTAAGGGCGAGCTGTTCCGCAAGTGTGTATCGTGTTTCTGCATCGAGGAGCACTTTACTTACATAGTAGATAGGTTGCTGAACTCTTCCCTTTTCCTTTACCAAGACACCGCTTACTGCGTTCTGAGAAACGGCCAAGTATAATAGCAGCGTGTCACCGGGTTCGGGTTTAGTAAGGACTAGAGGTGTTGATAATGTCTGTTTAAGCTCCTGAAAAGCTAAGTTGCATTCCTCGTTTCAGAGCTTGGATTTTGTCAGGATTTGCCTCTATTCCTCTATGCGTGATCATAAAACCCAAGAATTTTCCAGATGCCACCCCAAATGCACATTTTGTCGAGTTGAGCTTCATGTTGTATCTCCGTAACGTAGCAAACACTTCCTCTGGATCAGAAACATGGCTATTCAACTGTTTGCTCTTGACCACCATATCATCCACATACATTTCGACTGTTTTCCCAATTAGCTTGGTGAAGATCTTGTTCACTAACCTTTGATATGTTACTCCAGCATTCTTCAGACCAAAAGGCATGACCCTGTAGCAGTAGATGGCTGAATCTGCCATGAACGAGGTCTTCTCTTGATCTTCCTCTACCATGAGAATTTGGTGATAACCCGAGAAAGCATCCAAGAAGCTGTACAGCATATGACCTGACGTGCTATCTATGAGATTATAAATTCTAGGTAGGGGATAACTGTCTTTGGGGCATGCTTTATTCAGATCTGTGAAGTCAATGCAAACTCGCCACTTTCCACTAGCTTTCTTGACAAGAACCACATTGGCAAGCTATTCGGGATATTGTACCTCTCGAACAAACTGTGCATTAAGGAGTTTGGCAATCTCCTCTTTTATGACTTCTCGTCTTTCCATGCAAACTGCCTCTTCCTTTGCTTCATAGGTCTTGCTTCCGGGTTCACGTTAAGTTTATGTACTGCAACCTCTGGATCAATTCTAGGCATGTCCTCAACATTCCAAGCGAATACATCAATGGTCTGGGAGAGACAGCTTAGAAGTTCAGCCATAACCTCTGTATCTAACCCCTGACCAACTGTCACTTTTCTTCCAGACTCGATCTCGACCTCCTCCAATCCTTCTACCGGAGCCAGCCTTCCATAATTTTCGTGCTCGAGCTCGTGCTCTGTAACTTACATGACGTCATTTTTTATTTTTTGAACGCTAGTCACATAACACTGTCGAGCCACCGTTTGGTTGCCTCGGACTACCCGGATGCCATTAGGAGTAGGGAATTTCATAGCCAGGTGAAAAGTCGAGACAATAGCTTGAATTCTGTTGAGCATTGGTCTTCCTAATATGGCGTTGTAAGCCATTGGCGTACGGACGACTTCAAAGGTAGTGATTTGCGTCACCTGTTTACCTTCGGCTCCCAATGTTAAGGGTAACCTGACGATACCTTTCGGGGTGATGACCCCACCTCCAAACCCTTGGAGGGGTGTTTTCACTGGCTTTAGTTGTTCTGATGAGATCCCCATTTGAACAAAAGCTTCATGAGACAGTACGTTTGCTGCACTTCCATTATCTACCAGAATTCTCTTGACTTCAAAGTTGGCGATGATGGCCGATATGACAAGGGCATCATCATGGGGGAATGCTATGCCTTCCAAGTCATCCATTCCAAAACTGATGTCTCTGTACGACCAAGATCTGGTCTTGAGATGATTGGACGCTGCCTGGTATACTATTTTCGCCCACTGCTAGAGTCTCCTCCCGAGGCTGTTCCTCCGACAATGATATTGATAGTGCCTGCAGTTGGTTGCTTGTTTCCCCCATCCTCTGGGCCTTTCCCCCCATTCTGGTTATTCCTCGGGCGTTTGTCATTGTTAATGTAAGAGCTCAGAAATCCCCTTCTTATAAGAGCTTCAATTTCCCGCTTTAAGGCCAGACAGTCTTCTGCTGTATGGTCGTGATCTCTATGGAAATCACAGTATTTACTCTTGTCACAAGTATCGGGGGGAGACCGCAATCGGGGAGGCCATTTCAGTTCCCTAGAGTCCTTGATTTCCATCAGGATGATGGACCTCGAAGTGTTCAGATGGGTAAAAGCCGTTGAAGGTGGATCCTTTCTTGGTTTGACCCTACGTGTCTCTTGTCTTAAGCTGGACTCATGTGGCCTTTTCTGATCCAACCTCCCTAATGAGGTAACTTTCCTTTTTGGGGCCATGGTTTCTTCCATATTGATGTATTTCTCAGCCCGTGTGAACAGCTTGGTTACTGGCTTCGGCGGGGGTTTAGACAAGGACATTTTGAATGCTGCACACTTAATGGCGTAAGTCAGAGCTGAGACTGCAGCTGTGATATGTAGATCGGGGATCTGAAGCCTTTCTTTATTGAACCTGGTCATGAAACTGCGCAGTGTTTTGTTGGGTCCTTGACGCATCTGCATGAGCGATAAGGCTGTCTTTCTAATTCGTTTGCTGCTCGCAAAGAAAGCGGAGAACTTATCAGCCAAATCTGAGAAGAAGGTGATGGAGTTCGGTTCCAATGTGAAAAACCAATCTCTAGCCGCATTTGTGAGGGTTTGGGGGAATGCCTTGCACATTACCGCATCTGGTACAACCTATAAGTTCTTGATATCTGTGTATACATTGAGATGATTGATCGGGTCGGTTGTCCCGTCGTACTCCTTTATCCAAGGATACTTGAACCTATCGAGAAGAGGGTACGAGAGGACTTCTGGAGTGAATGGTGTATTGGGGGTGAACCCTGTTGCAGCCCGAGTATTTTGTTGCATACCCGCTGCTATCCCTTCTTGAATAATTCTTACAAGTTCGGCGGAGTCTATTGTAACGGACCTTGAACCTGATATAACTTGTGGTACCCCTGAGGTTCCAACCCCACCGTCATCATGGGCTGCATGATGAACTCGAGTCCGGGCATCTGCCATAAAGCTACCTTCAGGTGTTGGGGTGTGTGATGGATGCAAATTTCTCTGACTTAGCAGTTGGGTCATGCAACCACCTACTGGCGAAGTTCTTCAAAAGCTCCGGCAGAAACAATAACTTGAGGAGGTGCTGGCATCTCCGACAACTATTCTTGAGGGATATGGTGTTCCTCAGGAAGTGGAGGGTTATCCGGGACGGATGAGCTTGCTGGAGGAAGACCTGAACGTGTATTGACCATGGCTTTTGGTAGCGAAGTTCCCACAGACGGCGCCAATGATGCTACCAAAAAATATCACCTGAAGATCTCGAGCTTGATGACTAAGATGGAACATGAACTGCGCCTTCCAGTACCTGAAACAAAGGCAACGAGGTATGTGCTCGTCGCCCTTCTGATGCTTAAGTCAGATAGGGAATTTAATACTTGAGGCTATAAACTGAAGATAATAATGAAGAATGTACCTTAGGAATGAGCACAGGTTGTGTATTTATAGGTGTCAGCGGTGGAGTCCTAGAAGGACTTATTCTGTCACGATCCTTCTCCTCGTAGGAAAAGGAGTTGGTGTTTTACCTCAAGTATTCAAATCACTGTTTGAGTCAAAGAACGAGTCTAACAAGGTAGGGATTGTAATCAAGGTAGGATTAGTGCTTCCATAGGTCACATAGGTTGATGTGTCGACACATACCCCCAACCTAAAATGCTCGACCTTGTTTTGGTGTTTTTAGAGGATACATAGATCGGGGTTTTACAATGTGGTCGGGGTCAACTGGTCAAGTTCGAGACTTAACGAGATCTGAATCATCAGCTTGTTTCTTCATATTTGAAATATGTTTTTCTTTAAAGGTTGTGCTGTGTTCGATTAACCCTGGTGCTTGAACATTTTATGGCTTTTGTCTCAAAGAGCATCTTCTTTAGACGAGGCAACATGTAGATGCAAGTTGGGCTCAGGTTTTTGTTGGCTCGATTTTAGGGTTCAACTTTGAATTCATGAAAAACAACCCTGAGAACTATCCCCTCTATCTCTAGATGGCTCTATGGTGAACATGTCCAGATATAAATAAAATCCCTTCAAGATTCATAAGATTTATATGTGTAGATAAGTTTGCTAGCTGAGAAATGCGCTGAAACACATTCATTTACGTGTTTTAATATGTTATATGCTAAACCATAATAATATGTTTTATTGGAATTACTACATACAATTTGTGGACCTGTCAATAAAAAGTTTGCTTCCTACTTTTTCTTCACTCACATCAGTTCATTCTTTTGCTTCACATTCATCTTTCATTCTTTACAAGTTGAGCAACTGGAAGCCACCTCGACGCTAAACTATATTATTGGATAACCTTTTTTTTTTGGCACCTCGTATATAAATAATTTCTATGTAAGTATTTTACTGCAAAGACAACTTTGAAGAAAGCAGAAAATCTATCAGCCACAAAGATGAATATACAATCAGATGACTAACAAGAACAATCTGGAAATTCATCTCTTAAAAATTCTATAACACAAATTACAATATAGATCCCTATCCTTAGCTCTTTGATTTAGAATGCTTAACTAGCCAAATAATGACTTGGTCGAATTCTTTCACGAAAATATAAAGCAGCACACCTCTGTCAGTTATAGATTTCAAATCCATCTGATGAGTCAATCCCTTCTTTGATAGGGCTTCAGCCTTGTCAATTTTGTGTCCTAATACCACTGAGTGCTAGTTTACTTAGTAGATTGTGGAGTTCACGTTGGGAAATGCTAATGTTATCATGGTTGGCAGCATCAACAATGTAAACAATGACAGAAACTACACGATAGTATCATTCCCACATACTCCAGAATCTAGGTTGACCTCCAAGATCCCACAACTTTAATATGACATTCCCTTTAGTAATCTGGTGCATATTAAATCCTACCGCAGGGATCATATCTTCACATATCCACTAGTAGCAACGAAATTTACAAGTGAAGTTTTCTCGTCATTTTGAAGCCTTATCAATGATATCTCCGTCTACTGCTTGACGAAAAATACTTCTTAGCCAATTGAAAAATGCTACCCAGAAACCCGTTGCTTGATTAGTTGTGAAAACTCAAAAACTGCTTTTTCTTCAAAATCAAGTCTCTTTCACTTCTCGCAATCATTATCCTATGTACGCTTTGTCGGATATATGTATCTGTATGTGGATAATACAAAATTGAGAATGAAATTTGAATAAATAATTACCGTAGATGATAATTTAGGTCCCAATGATACGAGTAAATTAGACAATTTATATTATTGGAAAATGTTTTTGAGTCTGTGTTGTTGTGGGAAAATATCTTGTTTTGTTCTGCCAATACCCTATTGCAGATTAAATTTATCAAAAATTAGTTATCCTTTCAAAATTAGCAACAGTATCAGGAGTGTAATATGTACGGAATTCGCTTATACATGCACTGCGAAATTTAAAATAATTTCAATTTCCATCGAAAAATTTTCTTTGTGTTTAGATAGAAAATGTGATTAGTATTATATATCCAGTCAATTCTTCAAATGACAATCCTAGACCACAAATAATCACGATCTTCACATACCACAACTGTTCAATTATCGAGCCTCCGATGACACAAGGAAACGAGAATGAGAGATTATGATTTCTTTTTTCTTGTGCTAGCAAGATTATGAATGTATGTTACAAATTTTCAAACCCTAAAAGATTATTAATAAAAGTTTAAGTAGGCTTGATCCACCCATTAAACATATCGGCCCAATGGTTAATTAATATAATTAATTAAACTTGGTCCATAAATTAATTAATTTAAGAAACCTAATTAATTAATTCTATAATATCCAAAACTTATCGATTAATTAATTAGTAATATCATTCATTTGGTTCTCCTTTTCATGTATGACTCATTATGTTCTCAATCATGATACTTAACGACGTTAGCTATTATTTTGATATAATCAAAATATGATAAATTAAAACATCCCTTCAAATTTATCATTAATTCACCTATATTAATTAATTCACATATGTCATCCTAGATTGACACCGAACAATGTGTCAAGATAATACATGCGATGGAAAGTATCATGTCGTATGATAAAATCAAACTTGTTTATTTACCATGAAACTATAAGTCCTTCATCAATATGATCCGATCAACTACTATATATGGATATATGACAATCTTGATTATCCTACTTTTAAGTCGATGTTAGTTGAAAACTTTTTTGGATTTATGAATAGAACTTAACCAAGATTTTCATTATAAACTTAACTGAATAATATGTAGATCATAATTTATTATTATTTAAAAATGACAAATCCGTTATTATTTATTCACAATTTTGATATGATTTTTGACATACTCGAATGATGTCGTATTAATGACTCTCAGTAGAGTTGAATCTAACATCACCAAAGTATGACTGTCTTCTTATAAAGGCACTGTAATGACCTCAGGCTGAATCACCAATTCTACTACTAAACATTAGAGATTAACCACTGATGCTCTGATAGTTATCCATGTGAAATCTCTCTAGTAAGTCTCGGATGCCGGGTAGGATAGTGATTATCGTATTGGCTTGTTGTAGCAGATGATTCGCAAGAAAAAAACAACAGAAAACGCCCAAAAACCAGAGAAAATACTCTGAAATCAACTCAATATTATTAATAATGTAGAATGACCAAAATTAACCACAAGCTGGGTTAAATAGTTGCGAAATACAAAATTATGGGAAAATTACCAAAATTGGCAAAATCTCAAAAATATACCAAAATAAAATATTAAGTAAAAGAAGTAGGTTACCAAAAATTTGGCTCAATTCGAGTTTTTTAACATATGAAAAAAGAGAAACGAAATATTACCATAAATAGCAAAAAATAACTTAAAATTGAATTTTGGAAAGAAAAATAGTGGATTTTGGGCTCGAAATTGATGCGCACCGAGCATAGCTGGGTGACCACAACGTGCGCACCGAAGAGAACTTTTCGGATTGGGGTCATAATAGCAATTCCGATAACCGTAGCCAAAGTTATGGCTAAATTACCAAAGACGCGTCAAATTCCCCCAATTAAGGAAATAATTGTAATTCACTTTCCATCTTTGCACCGATCCACCATCTCATGGTATCTCAGCGCCATCATCACGCTATCTGACAAATTAGTATCACTCGACTCGGATCCTCGTGCATCAGTCTCTAAAGTTTTGTTCTTATAAGAAAACATTCAAATATCCATTAAAACATCATTTTATTTTAACTTGTGAGATCGGATGCTCATTTCATAAGTGAGAAACACCACTCTTACTGGTTTATCTATAATAACGATATCCTATCTCATTATTATTTACTACCATGAATAATTTAAGAATCAGTCACATATTTCCCACAACCACAACTTCTTGTAATTAACAAGTTATAAAGGACTTGAATCTTCAGATCCAATTATTTAATTTATTAGAATATTAATTGGATTAAACAACAACAATTTGCCATAAATAAAAATGTATCAATTATATATTAAAGTGTTTCGTCTAAAATCGATTGGACCTAGGGCATAACACAATTTTCGCTAGATCCCATCATTTTTGCATCAATGGATCTACAATATTATCACTTGTGAGACCTCATTCTTTCTTTACGTTATTTCTTTGTGTATTCTCTTTAATGAGATGATA